GCCCCCCCCCCCCCCGGCTCCCCCTACCTCCAGCACTGTTCTTGCCAGTGTCACAGCGACCTCGTGGCCACTGGACCAGCGTGCTCCGTCCTCGCCACGAGGATGCTCACTCCCTCCTCCTGGCAACACTTTCCCAGGGGTAGGAGGAACACCACGCCCGCCTGGCTCTCCACCCGCGCTCTGCTCCTTCCAGGCTTTCTGCCCATCCCCCTCTCCCCGTCCCCGCCCGGCATCTCACTGGCTTTCTGTGTTATGGGGCGTCGGCGGCTCAATCAATCCGTGGACCCCTTCTCTATCCAAGCCCTTCCCTGGATGGACACTGTCCAACACGAGTCTAATGTGTGTCATTTAGCACTTTCTAGGGGCGCCTGGGTGGCTCAGTCGGTTAAGTGTCCGACTTCACCTCAGGTCCTGATCTCGCGTTTGTGGGTTCGAGCCCCACGGCGGGCTCTGTGCTGACAGCTGGGAGCCTGGAGCTGCTTAGGATTCCATGTCTCCCTCTGTCTCTGCCTCTGCTCTGCTGAGCTGTCATGTCAGCACACAGCTGAAGCAGGGCTCGAACTCACGAAATGAGAGACTGTGACCTGAGCGGAAGTCAGACGCTTATTGGACTGAGCCACGCTGGTGTCCCCCCACTAATTTCAAGTTCAGTAGCCACACGTGGCTGGTGGCTCCTGCAGGCCGCAGCACGGAGCTGGATACTCCCAGGAAACTGGGGCTGTAAACGCGCGCAGGTCTGTGCTGGTGACCTCCCGTATTCGCCTCCGGCCTGGGCGTCTCCACACAGCAGACCCGTCTGACCAGTGTCTCCTCAACCCTGCACTTGGACGTCTAATGGTTGCCTCGAACCTGGCCCGTTCACACATGGCGCCCAGCCACCAACCAGCAAGGCCAGTTTCCCTGGTCTCGGTCAGGGGCCACGACTCCCTTCCGCTTGCTGAGGCCAAACCCTACGTGCGCCCCTTGACTCCCTTTCTCTCTCTTCTGCCTCCTATCTGGCCTAGCCAGAAATCCTTCGAATCCTTCCAGAGTCCCGCCATTTCGCGTGTTCCTGTCACCCTCCTTGGCCCCGCCCCCTCGGCTCTCCGGGGAGTGGGATTTGTTTCCAGGAGATTCTCCAGTCTGGTCGGGCAGCCCCTGGCACGGCCTGTCTGTTCCCCACTCGGAATGCTGCCTGGGAAAGAAGTCACACCTGCCCCTCGGCTCAGAACCCTGCAGGGCTCCCATGTCCCCCAGGAGACAGTGAGCGTGGCCCACAGGCCACCCAGCGCGGGGCCGGGCCCTGGTCCCCCCCGCCCCCCCCCCCCGTTCTGGAACACAGCGGCCACCCCGCGCCTCTGCATGACTGCCTCCTTCAGGCCTGTCCTCAAAAGCCACCGTCGCCGTCCCAGTCCCCTACCTGAAAGCCACCTCTCCGGTGGGCACATTTCCTATCCCCCTTCCCTGCTGCTTGGCCCGTGTGGCCCACACGCGGTGCACGTGTCTCCGCCTGCACAACCTCGGCTCCGGGAGGCCCGGGCTTCGCGCGCGTGCGGCTGTTTCCCGCTCGCCCCGCAGCGCCCGGCACGGTGCCTGGAACCGAGAAGGCCCCCCGCACGAAGGACTCCCCGGCGGGGAGAGCGCCCGGAGCGAGTCCAGGGGCGGCTGCTACCTTCCGAAGCCTGGAGGCTGGGGCCGGGGGTGCGCCCGAGGCCTCCCGCGCCCGGAACCGTTCTGTGCGGGGGGCGGCGGGGCTGGAAGCGAGGAGGCGGCGGGGAAGGCAGGGGCGGCTCGGCTTCCTCCGTGGCAACCGCCTCGGGCCCAGGGAGTCCCGGCAGACCCGGGTTGGGATCGCGGAACTCGGAAGAAGCAGAGCGCGGCTTTCAACGCCAGGAGGGGGGTGGGGTTGTGTCGAGGACCCTAAACGATGGCGGGCCGTTCCGACGGGCGCGTGGGGCGAGCCGGCCGCCCGCGACCAGGGCCCAGGCGGCCTCCCTCCGCTCCGTCCTCCGTCCGCGTGGGGGCCGCGGAGGCGGGCGCCTGGGCGGAGAGCGCGGGCGGGGCAGGGCGCGGGGGCGCGCGGGGCAGGGGAGGCGGGGGCGGAGAGGGCGCAGAGCGTGCGGGGGGAAGGCGAGGGGGCGCGCAGGGCGGGGGAGGCCGAGAGAAGGCGGGCGCCCGGCCGCGGAGGGCGCTGGCTCTGGGAGGCCGCGGGAGCGCGCAGGGCGCGGGGCCGTGCGCAGGGCGGGCGCGCCCCCGCGGGGCGTGCAAAGAGGCCCTTCCCAGGCACCTGCTAGCCGCCCGACGCTCCCCGGCTCGCGGCCGCCGACGCTGCGGCGGCCGATATTTATTTGTGTTGGCGGAGGGGGCGGGGCCTCTGTCTGGGACGCGAAAATCCTTCCAGGAAGTTCGCTCCTATTAATACTCGAGTTCCTGGCAGCGGCTCTCCGCGCGGGGGCGGGGGCGCAGCCCTGGCGCCTCCCAGGTCAGTCCCCGTCGGCGCGCGGCGCGGGTCTCAGGAGCGGCACGTCGCGGGGGGGGGGGGGGAGGGGGTACCCAGGCCGCGGCGGGGGCGGGGCGGCCGGGCCGTCAGCTGTGGGCGATTCGCGGGCGGCGTGGGGGCGACACTGGGAACCCCGGCCGGGCGAGGGCCGACGGGGGCGCCGGCGCCGTGGACGCCCCGAGCCCCGACGAGGTCTGGACGCCCGCGGAGACCTTGATGCAGCCGCAGGGCGGGAGGGCGCAGCGGCAGCCACTTGACCTTTGACACTAGCAGGCCCCTCACCATCACGTTGCGAGCTTATCGTGAGCTCCAATCTGCAGAAGTGGAAAACGGAGCTCAGAGAAGTGCGTTCAATAAACCTAGGTCACAGCGCTGCCGCCCAAGCGAGCGCCCAGGCTTTAGACACGTGTCTTGCAAGCCACGGTCCCTTGGAAGCAAATGCTGCAGAATTGTGCCTGTCGTATCAGCCAACACAATCGTCCCCACAGGGGACCCACAGGAACCCGCCGGCGCGCACGCGGCACCTCAGAGCCTGTCGGGCCCCGGGAACGCCCTTCGGGCACCGCTCTGCTCGGGCGCCCGTCACACACCTGGAGACCTCAGCGTCTAGCCAGAGAAAATTTATTTTTAACATCGTCAAGTGCATGTGGAGATAAGATTGGAAGCGGTTGACACCCGCCTGTGGAGGGGTGGGTTCCTGGCATGCTGAGGCCACGCGCAGCCACATCACACGGTCTCCTCCCCGGCATTCTTTCTTTAAAAAAAAAAAAAAAAAAAAAACACGTTTATTCACCTTTGAGAGCCAGAGAGAGAGCACCAGAGTGGGAGCAGGGGAGGGGCAGAGAGAGAGGGAGACACAGAATCTGAAACAGGCTCCAGGCTCCAAGCTGTCAGCACAGAGCCCCACACGGGGCTTGAACTCACAGACTATGAGATCATGACCTGAGTGGAGGTCGGAGGCTTAAGGACTGAGCGCCCCCGGGGCGCCCCTCGTCCCCAGAACTCTAAAGGCAGCTGCAGACACAAGGGCAGCCCCTCCCCTCAGGGGCATCAGCCCCCCCCTACTCAGGGACCCTGTCCACTTGGGCACGGAGGTAAGGCCACGCTTGAAAACACTTGAACCAAAGGAGGTTTGTCTCGTGAACCATCTGGCTCTAGTCGCCAGGGTCCCCTCCCCTTCCCGCCTCCTCAGCCACCTGTCTCCCAGGTGGCCAAAGGAGGATGGGACAGATTCGGGCATTTCCAGGTGGGACTCGCCAACCTGAACCCCTTCCCCCACCCGCTCTGGCAGGAGGAATACTTAAAGGAAAGGCCCCTGAAGGAGGAGGGCGAGCTGGCTGTCGCCTGTCCCCTGGGACTCCGGGCTTGGTGATCAGTGGGGGGATCTCAGCCCTCTGCCGGCTGCAGGCCGCCAGGGAGACTTTGTGCAAGCTTAAGTCCTCAAGCATGGCTGCCTCCAGGAGCCTCCCCCCCACCCCCCGCTCCCTGAGCTGGACCCAAACAGCCCTGCTTCTGTTCGCATTCATGCTGCCAGAGGGTTTTCTGGGGGGGGGGGGGAGGCGGGGAGGGGGGTCCGTGAGACAAATGTCCGCTCCCCAGCCTGGGTGGGCCAGGCTGCCAGCTGCTTCACTTTTGGCTGCAAAGGGCCTGGAACGGAGTGGTAGCATCAGCTATTTTAATGCAGAGTTAGGCACACAATCCTTGCTAAAAATAAATACAAAGGAAAACCCCAAAGTAGCTAAGCCTATTTCAATACCTTTTATTTTTCTTGTCCCTGGTTCTTTTGTCTTCCCCCTTTGCAAGGCTGGAGCTGCAATCCGCACCGGGCCCATCCTGAGTGTCCTGCGGACGCACAGCCCAGACTTGATCGCGGGCAAGAACAGAGTCAGAGGGATTGGGGGAAGAAGAGAAAGAGAACCCAACAGCCATTTCTTTGAGTGCAATTTATTTTACATTCGGAGACACAGCTAAAAGGAGCTGGGAGTGATGAGCCCTCTTCCCGCGGCCCCCTTCCAGCCCTCCACGGGGAGGGAGGGAAGGAGAGAGAGAGAGAATGGAGGTTTGCCAAGCACCTGCTTAGGAAATGGCCAGCACCCTGCCCTCCTCTGATGCGGCAGACGATCTGGGTGCCTCCGGGCCCCTGGGCCATCACCGCTCACCCTTTCAGAAAGGAAGTGTGGGGGAGGAAACTTTTTCCCTCTCTCCTCCTAGTTTCTTTGCCTGATGTAGTAATCCAGCCGAAACCGGGCAGATTCGCAGGAGGAAAACAAATTGAATTCCATATGTACAGAGGTCATTTGAGGTCTCCCTGCGCTCCAGAGCGAAGGAAAGGGAGGGGACCTCTGCTTCAGAGGCTCGAGAATAGTTCACGGGACAAGAAGAGCAGGTGTTTGGGAACTGGATGGTTCCCCTCGTACAGATCGGTCCTTCGGATAACAAGTTGTCTCTGGGGACAGCTTTCGTTCTGGGCCAGGCGCCCTGTCTAAAAGTGTTTACTAGTTAAGGGAGACGTAAAAGTTTTTCTCCTTTCTTCCTTTCTTCCTTCCTTCCTTCCTTCCTTCCTTCCTTCCTTCCTTCCTTCCTTCCTTCCTTTCTTCCTTTCTTCTTTCTTTCTTTCTTTCTTTCTTTCTTTCTTTCTTTCTTTCTTTCTTTCTTTCTTTCTTTCT